GGTTTCAACTTGTTTCATAAATAATATCGTTTACTTCTCTATGAGCTTTAATCACATTAATAATAATTATTATCTTATTACATTTATAGCGACTCACGTACAATTGAGTTTATTCTCATTTACCTCAGTTAAGCCGTTTTGTTAACTTATTCAGTGGACAAAGTCATCCATACTATAACAACTTGTTGTACTCCTATTATTATTGTACTTGTATGAAATATTTGTGAATGAACATGTTTACACCCTACGCATATATTCATTCTGCCAACTTCATTATTAGCTGCTTAATCTAATCGTTGACTCATCCATTTCCCTATATATATATATATATATATATATATATATATATATATATATATATATATATATATATATATATATATATATATATATATATATATATATATATATATATACTCTGTACGCACACTATTAGATTAGTGTTCATTAGATTACCAAATCTTGTCTAAGTTTTCTTAACCTTTATATCTGATGAACGTCGGAAACGAGTTTACGAATAAATGAGCTACAATGGCTTATCAATGATTAATCTATAAGGCATATCTCAGTTCGTTAGATATTAATGGAAAGAAGTTGAGAAGACATTATGGAAATCAAATTGTGGGTGGCCCTGAAAAGGGCCTGTACTCGTTCCCGTTTTAGTTTGTAATGGCGCCACACATAGGACAGTGGACTGCTCGTACGTTCGGTGATGGGTCATAAGCACAGAATCTATGAAACATTGCTTCACATCTACAGAAAACCCAACCAACCGCATCACCGGTTTCACATGGAGGCTGCGCAAGATTACAGATGTCGCAGAGTCGATTCTCGTCATCCTGTTCTTCATTTTCGATGTCCCGTTCAGTTAACTCTTCGGAGTTAATAGAAATTACTTCCTCCTCATCGTTACTGAGCGTTTCATCCAAATCAACAGTTCCTCGTTGTATAAACGGCACTGCTACGTTAGTCGAGGTTCTTGAAAGGGTGTACGAATGCTGTTCTACATGCAAGTTTACTGGCGTTGTTGGTAGTCTACCGTGAACTATGAAGTCATGAAGTGAACTGCATTGTTCCTCCGACATTCGCCTGATTAACGCTATCACTGCATTCTTCATGCTTGGCTGACTCAATTGCATTGGGAAATAATTTTCAACTGCAATATGAGTCAGATAACCATCATAGTGTAACCACCTGTCACAAATTGACTGTACGTTCACATCGGTGTTACTGTGTGTGCAGTAAGCCAATATGTGACGGCATGGTAATCCGTTTTCAATGAAGAATGGACACGAGCACCGGCTAGTATCGACGTGTACGTAGTACGTCCCCGTGGCGTCCATAGCGGTGAATAAATCTTCCGTCAATGCAGACTGCGTTATAGGAATGCGAAGGTGTCGCTTCAGTAGTTGACAGGCAACTGGTGTCAGTCGTTCCTGAAGTCGACGTACTTCCGGCTCCTCACCAATATCGGCTTTCCCCCGACAATCCATTGAATATTTATGTAATCTTGCTTCCATCCAATATCCAGTACGAAGCAGCACATTGAAAATGGATCTGAGAACCGGTGTTTTTCGATTAAGGTGATACATCTTCAAGACTCGGTGACTGGTCTCGACGAAGTTAGTATTGCTCAGTTCAAAGAGAGTGGATGGCGGTCGAAAAGCAGTGGACCATTTGTGTTTCCGTGGTAGAAGGTGGTCTCTGACGTATCTGCCAAACGTTCCGTCCGACATTTCGATTAACGAAAGTACGTTGTTAAAACTACAAAATCATGTTATGTAGATTTTGATTTACCTTTCAACCGTTCGAGTGAACATGAGGCGAAAGAACAGTTGTACAATTTCTGATCGCACCCTCTACAATAACGGTTACTGGGTTAATGTTAATGAACGAAACACTTACCCTCTTTATCACATTCCGAACAAGGTGTACGCGACACAGAATATGGTGTGCATCCGGATACACCTGCGTAATAGCAGCAGCAATTGCAGGTGAATCATCGGTCACAATGCCTACCAGTTGTCGACTGTTGGAAAAAATGCAGGAAGGCAGAAATTAATGTTGACGTTTCGCGACTTAAAAAGGCAATGCACATGGGTATTGCTTTAAAATTCATATCCAGGGCAACGACTTGATATAAATGGACGTTCTCGTTATTCGTTTTGTACGTCCCGTCAAAACCAATTACGTCACAAAAGTGACCGGCCAAATTCACTTGTTCAGCAGTCATGAAGAAGAAATACGATAGACAGTTCTCATCGTCCAATTCGTATTCGCAAAGCCCACCCAAGGATGTTATGTGAGCTTTCAATTTCCCGTAATCACCTATAGTGTACATTATAAATTGGCAAATTCCGTACCAGGAAGGTTCGCGTGTGAGAACACTTTGTACCGCATATTGCAGACATCTTGAGCGGTCAGACATTTCCCATAAGATTGGTAAGCAAAATTCTTTATGTGGAATGCAGCGGTACCGGAAATCAGCAGCGGTCTCACAGTTTCAAACTCCCCATCCGTTAACCTGCGCACCCATGAATTACCCTGGTACCTCAGGGAATTGCACTCGTGATTGTGATGTACATTCCCACGTACAACAGTCCAATAGCCGTCTATAATCTTACAAAACATAAATGCTGGACATTGGGTGTTCATAGAAGCCCTTCGTTCAAAAAATTATAAAACAATTTACCAAATTACCTCCTCCGTCTAATACGTTGTGACGAACCGCTAGATCTTATACGCCCATTTCGCCAACACACAAATTTAATGTAGGATTTTTGATCTCTGCCAATATGCGAATCTCTCACTACATAATGACTGTAAGTCGATCTTTCAAAATTTGTGATAGTGGTCTTTAACGCTTCAACCGATGGAAACGCAACCAGAAACAAGGTAGTCAAAAAGACTTCCTCCATTTCCGTTACGTGAGAAACACCAGCGCTTGTACTCGGCACGTTACTCTGCTCCATAATGACGATTGAGATTGTGCTTCGTCGACAAGTACTGATAATTTATAACAATTTTCAAGACATAACTAACCAATTAAATCTAATTTTTGAAACTAGCCATTTCATTGGACGAAACACGGGATGAAAGATATTGTAATTTGGGGGTGGAAATTTTTTTTTTAAATGGCCGGTCGGACAATATTATTCCACACTCACTAACAGTAGGATTGCACTGAATAATATTGTCCGACCGGCCATTTAAAAAAAAAATTTCCACCCCCAAATTACAATATCTTTCATCCCGTGTTTCGTCCAATGAAATGGCTAGTTTCAAAAATCAGATTTAATTGGTTAGTTATGTCTTGAAAATTGTTATAAATTATCAGTACTTGTCGACGAAGCACAATCTCAATCGTCATTATGGGGCAGAGTATCGTGCCGAGTACAAGCGCTGGTGTTTCTCACGTAACGGAAATGGAGGAAGTCTTTTTGACTACCTTGTTTCTGGTTGCGTTTCCATCGGTTGAAGCGTTAAAGACCACTATCACAAATTTTGAAAGATCGACTTACAGTCATTATGTAGTGAGAGATTCGCATATTGGCAGAGATCAAAAATCCTACATTAAATTTGTGTGTTGGCGAAATGGGCGTATAAGATCTAGCGGTTCGTCACAACGTATTAGACGGAGGAGGTAATTTGGTAAATTGTTTTATAATTTTTTGAACGAAGGGCTTCTATGAACACCCAATGTCCAGCATTTATGTTTTGTAAGATTATAGACGGCTATTGGACTGTTGTACGTGGGAATGTACATCACAATCACGAGTGCAATTCCCTGAGGTACCAGGGTAATTCATGGGTGCGCAGGTTAACGGATGGGGAGTTTGAAACTGTGAGACCGCTGCTGATTTCCGGTACCGCTGCATTCCACATAAAGAATTTTGCTTACCAATCTTATGGCAAATGTCTGACCGCTCAAGATGTCTGCAATATGCGGTACAAAGTGTTCTCACACGCGAACCTTCCTGGTACGGAATTTGCCAATTTATAATGTACACTATAGGTGATTACGGGAAATTGAAAGCTCACATAACATCCTTGGGTGGGCTTTGCGAATACGAATTGGACGATGAGAACTGTCTATCGTATTTCTTCTTCATGACTGCTGAACAAGTGAATTTGGCCGGTCACTTTTGTGACGTAATTGGTTTTGACGGGACGTACAAAACGAATAACGAGAACGTCCATTTATATCAAGTCGTTGCCCTGGATATGAATTTTAAAGCAATACCCATGTGCATTGCCTTTTTAAGTCGCGAAACGTCAACATTAATTTCTGCCTTCCTGCATTTTTTCCAACAGTCGACAACTGGTAGGCATTGTGACCGATGATTCACCTGCAATTGCTGCTGCTATTACGCAGGTGTATCCGGATGCACACCATATTCTGTGTCGCGTACACCTTGTTCGGAATGTGATAAAGAGGGTAAGTGTTTCGTTCATTAACATTAACCCAGTAACCGTTATTGTAGAGGGTGCGATCAGAAATTGTACAACTGTTCTTTCGCCTCATGTTCACTCGAACGGTTGAAAGGTAAATCAAAATCTACATAACATGATTTTGTAGTTTTAACAACGTACTTTCGTTAATCGAAATGTCGGACGGAACGTTTGGCAGATACGTCAGAGACCACCTTCTACCACGGAAACACAAATGGTCCACTGCTTTTCGACCGCCATCCACTCTCTTTGAACTGAGCAATACTAACTTCGTCGAGACCAGTCACCGAGTCTTGAAGATGTATCACCTTAATCGAAAAACACCGGTTCTCAGATCCATTTTCAATGTGCTGCTTCGTACTGGATATTGGATGGAAGCAAGATTACATAAATATTCAATGGATTGTCGGGGGAAAGCCGATATTGGTGAGGAGCCGGAAGTACGTCGACTTCAGGAACGACTGACACCAGTTGCCTGTCAACTACTGAAGCGACACCTTCGCATTCCTATAACGCAGTCTGCATTGACGGAAGATTTATTCACCGCTATGGACGCCACGGGGACGTACTACGTACACGTCGATACTAGCCGGTGCTCGTGTCCATTCTTCATTGAAAACGGATTACCATGCCGTCACATATTGGCTTACTGCACACACAGTAACACCGATGTGAACGTACAGTCAATTTGTGACAGGTGGTTACACTATGATGGTTATCTGACTCATATTGCAGTTGAAAATTATTTCCCAATGCAATTGAGTCAGCCAAGCATGAAGAATGCAGTGATAGCGTTAGTCAGGCGAATGTCGGAGGAACAATGCAGTTCACTTCATGACTTCATAGTTCACGGTAGACTACCAACAACGCCAGTAAACTTGCATGGAGAACAGCATTCGTACACCCTTTCAAGAACCTCGACCAACGTAGCAGTGCCGTTTATACAACGAGGAACTGTTGATTTGGATGAAACGCTCAGTAACGATAAGGAGGAAGTAATTTCTATTAACTCCGAAGAGTTAACTGAACGGGACATCGAAAATGAAGAAGAGGATGACGAGAATGGACTCTGCGACATCTATAATCTTGCGCAGCCTACGTGTGAAACCGGTGATGCGGTTGGTTGGGTTTTCTGTAGATGTGAAGCAATGTTTCATAGATTCTGTGCTTATGACCCATCACCGAACGTACGAGCAGTCCACTGTCCTATGTGTGGCGCCATTACAAACTAATAGTGACGACGTCCGACCGCGAGAACGATAAAAGGCCCTTCTCAGGGCCACCCACAAATTGATTTAAATTCATTTTTCCTAATATTCTTTTTGTCCATGGCAAAGGTCAAGTGATTAAGCACTTTTAAATGTCAAATGCATTTAGATATACCTTAGATATTAATAATGGAAAAGCGATTATCGCTCATGTATTCGTAAACTTGTTTCTAATGTATATTAGATAATAAGGTTAAGAAAACAGACAAAATTTTGTCATTTAATGAACACTGATCTAATAATTTTAGATTTAAAATAATGCGATTACCGTTCATGTTTTAGTAACACATTTGTAAACTATCTAATAATAGTACATTTTAGTCAATTTTAATAGGAATATTGCAATATAGTGAAAATTCTAATTTGCTCGTTAGGTCAATAAGTTTATGAGAACATTTATTAGTGATTATCATTACGAAGATGAATGTGATTAAAGCTCATAGAGAAGTAAACACAATGAAGAAAATTAACTTATTTATGAATAAAATAATGACATTAGAAAACAAGTTGAAACCATCATCGTTGAAATGATTCATGTGATAAAAGGTCATATAGTAAGTGTAAAAAGAAATAAGAATATTAGCTGTTTCATGAATACAAAATGCAAGAATTTCATATTCCGGTTTTATATTAATAGTACCTGAAACCAGAACTATGCGTACGTATGAATTACATCCAATCGTCAACTAAGCCTTCATTGTTATTCATAACTACTGATTATATCACCGTATTCATTTGCACACCTCTTTAACTATTAATTACGGCTACAATGTGATTGTAGCAGTAATAAAAATTCTCATAGAATATTCAAAAATAAAAAATAATGTAGCGAACAATCGTTTTCATTAACTTCATCATCACACTATACAGTTATAAGCCCATAATTTTTATATTTTATAAAGTCCAAAAATAAGGCATGGCATTAATGAATTTGACAATGTAATGTGCTAACAATGGTGAACGTTAACATCTGTTACTTACTTACTTACGCCTGTTACTCCCAATGGAGCATAGGCCGCTGACCAGCATTCTCCAACCCACTCTGTCCTGGGCCTTCTTTTCTAGTTCCATCCAATTCTTGTTCATTTTTCTCATGTCTATCTCCATTTCTCGGCGTAATGTGTTCTTTGGTCTTCCTCTTTTCCTTTGGCCTTCAGGATTCCATGTGAGGGCTTGTCTTGTGACGCAGTTGGGTGCTTTCCTCAATGTGTGTCCTATCCACTTCCAGCGCTTCTTCCTGATTTCTTCCTCCGCTGGGATCTGGTTTGTTCTCTCCCACAGTACGTTGTTGCTAATAGTGTCCGGCCAACGGATCTGAAGTATTTTGCGTAGACAACTGTTAATAAACACCTGTATTTTCTGGATGATGGCTTTCGTAGTTCTCCAGGTTTCTGCCCCATACAGTAGAACTGTCTTGACATTTGTATTGAAAATCCTGACCTTGGTGTTGGTTGACAGTTGCTTTGAGTTCCAGATGTTCCTCAGTTGTAAATATGCTGCTCTTGCTTTGCCGATCCGCGCCTTCACATCTGCATCAGATCCACCCTGTTCATCAATGATGCTGCCCAAATACGTAAAGGTTTTTACATCTTCCAAATCTTCTCCGTCAATTGTGATTGGATTGGTGCATTCTGTGTTGTATCGGAGAATCCTGCTTTTCCCTTTGTGTATATTGAGACCTACTGCTGCTGAGGCTGCTGCCACACTGGTCGTCTTCTCCTGCATCTGTTGTTGCGTTTGGGATAGAAGGGCCAGATCATCTGCGAAGTCCAGATCGTCCAACTGCATCCTAGATGTCCATTGTATCCCGTGCTTCCCTTCAGACGTTGACGTCTTCATGATCCAGTCGATCACCAGGAGAAAGAGAAAGGGTGAGAGTAAGCAACCTTGCCTGACACCGGTCTTCACTTCGAACGACTTTGTCAACTGTCCTCCATGCACAATTTTGCAGTTCAATCCATCATATGAATTCTGTATGATATTGACTATCTTCTGAGGCACGCCGTAGTGTCGAAGAAGTTTCCATAGTGTTGTTCTGTCCACGCTATCAAATGCCTTTTCGTAGTCAATGAAGTTGATGTAGAGTGATGAATTCCATTCAATTGATTGTTCCACAATGATCCGTAGAGTTGCGATTTGGTCTGTACACGATCTATCCTTACGGAATCCTGCCTGTTGGTCACGAAGTTGGGCGTCTACGCAGTCCTTCATCCTGTTTAACAATACCCTGTTGAAGACTTTTCCCGGTATTGAGAGAAGAGTGATGCCCCTGTAGTTATCACAGTTGCTGAGATCGCCTTTCTTCGGTATTTTGATCAGAAGTCCTTCTTTCCAGTCTTTTGGTACTTGTTCCTCATCCCAAATCTTATTGAAGAGAATGTGGAGTATCCTTGCAGTTGCCGCTACGTCTGCTTTTAGTGCCTCTGCTGGATGTTGTCCGGTCCTGCTGCTTTGCCACTCTTGATTTGTCTGATGGCCATGCTGATTTCTTCAATTGTTGGTGGGCCAACATTGATTGGGAGGTCCGTGGGTGCTGCTTCGATGTTGGGTGGGTTCAGTGGAGCTGGTCGATTCAAGAGTTCTTTGAAGTGTTCTACCCACCTGTTTTGTTGCTCTTCAATGTTGGTGATTACCTCGCCTTCCTTGCTTTTCACTGGTCGTTCTGGTTTGCGGCGATTTCCAGAGAGTTTCTTTGTCGTGTCATACAGTTGTCTCATGTTTCCTTCTCTTGCAGCCTTTTCCGCCGTCGTTGCTAAATCTTCCACATATTTACGTTTGTCGGTTCTGATGCTCCTCTTCACTTGTTTGTTTACTTCTGTGTATTCAGCTTGTGCCTTGGCTTTTTCTGCTCTTGTTCGACTGGTATTGATTGCTGCCTTCTTGTTCCTCCTTTCTTGAATCTTATCCAGTGTATCAACAGTGATCCATTCCTTGTGATGGTGCTTCTTGTGACCCAGGACCTCATGACATGTTGAAGTGATTGCCTCTTTGATCCCCTTCCAGTTGCTCTCCACAGTAGTTCCTTCTCCATTGAGTAGATCATGAAAGGCCTGGAACTTGTTGCTGAGGACTATCTTGAATTTGTTGAGTTTGTTAGTATCCTGAAGAAAGGCCGTATTGAACTTTTGTGATATTGTCTGTCCCGTTGTCCAGTGCTTCTTGAGTTTCAATTTCATCTTGGCGACCAGCAAGTGATGATCTGATGCTATATCAGCTCCTCTCTTGGTTCTCACGTCCTCTATAGTCCTCCTGAACGTTTTGTTGATGCAAATATGGTCGATTTGGTTTTGTGTATAGTGATCCGGTGAAGTCCATGTGGTTTTGTGTATGCGTTTATGTGGGAATATGGTGCCGCCTATGACCAGCTTATTGAAGGCACATAGATTTGCAAATCTCTCACCATTTTCGTTTCTTTCTCCCAGTCCGTGTCGTCCCATGATGTCTTCATATCCAGTGTTGTCCGTTCCAACCTTGGCGTTGAAATCTCCCATCAGAATGGTCAGGTCCTTTGTTGGGCACTTCTCGACGATTGACTGCAGCCTATTGTAGAATTGATCTTTAGCGTCTTCATTGTAGTCGTTGGTAGGCGCATAGCATTGGATGATGTTCATTGAAATACCCTCTTTCTTTGTTTTGAACGAGGCTTTGATGATCCTTGGTCCATGAGATTCCCATCCTATAAGCGCATTTTGCGCTTGTTTGGACAGCATCAATGCAACTCCTTGTGTATGTGGTGCATTTTCATCTTCATGGCCGGAGTATAACAGGAGCTCTCCTGTAGTTAGTCGTTGTTGTCCAACTTGTGTCCAATGTGTTTCACTGATCCCAAGTACCTCTAGGTTGTATCTTCTCATTTCTGCAGCAATTTGGAAGGCTCTCCCGGTGTCCCACATTGTACGAACATTCCATGTACCTAAATAAATGGTCGCTCTGGTTGTCAGAAGGGGCATCGGCCTCGTAACTTCCGAAGGAATTCGGCTTTCATCATGAGGCGTCATAATTCTTCTAAATGAAGACCTTCTGACTCCCAGGGCAGAGTTTAAAAGGTTTGAATAATTTTTTCTGGTTAGCGTTTTTTTAGCGAGTTAGTTTTCTACGGGATGGGGACGCTAACCCCATGCCCAACCCTCCTCCTTTATCCGGGCTTGGGACCGGCAGTAGCCCCCGGAGGGACTCCAGGCGGAGTTGTTTACATCTGTTACGATATATATATTTATATGTATACTTACAAATTGTAATATTTTCTAATTAGAAAGGTCATTCAATAAAGGTCTGGATTATTTACAGTAAAGTGTTCAGTCACAATAAGTGGAAGAGCATTATAGGAAAATTTAAAATACAACAAATTTTGTGTCAATGAAATACATAGTATGGGAATTGAATCTTGTCAATTGACATAATAATGATCATAAGCACAATAAATAATAATAACATTGTAAATGTTCATTGATACAGTTGACCTTATTCATATTTATACGTTTAATGTCGATAGATGTTTGTTGAGTCAGTCAGACGACGTAGGCTTGTTCATTTACACTTCATGAAACTGATATTTCAAATGCTTGTCAAAAATGGTTACATTCATAATGTCTAGATATAGTTCAGGTTTCATATTACGGCGGTTAACAATATTCACACATGACTGATTAAACAAACTAGTATTTATAACGACCAAAAAATTAATTTTAAATTACGGAACTGCAAATAATTTACAAGTGGAAATAATGAACCGTTTCAATGGATTTCCAAATTAACCACATTTAAATCTAACTTTTTCTAATTCTCATTATGAATGACCATTTACAAAATAATCGTTTACTAAATATTAAGTGTCTATTTCGGAAAATTTATTACTACTTTCATATACTGT